AAAAGTGACACGAATCTTCATGGGTTGCTACATGCTTGTTGTTTGGACAGAGTTGATCGGTTGCTACTCAACACTATATACAAATTGCTTATCAAAGCATGTTCTGATGTATTGCATTTCTGTACAAATTTGTTCCTAGTTTCGTTAATTTGAAAATCTACTTTCGGGATGTTAACCTCTTGATGGAGGTCGGAAATGCGGGTATCGAAAGGACGATCTAGGATCATCCTCAACACCCTGTTCTGCGCTACCTGTATTTGGTTCCTGTGAGTTTGTGCACATGATTCCCACACCGGAGCTGCGTAGAAGATCGCAGGCGCAATGATTTGTTTGTAGACAGCCACTTTGTTCACCCTAGAGAGACGAGATCTGCGGCAAATAAGCGGATACAAGCACCTAACTAGATTGGAACACTTTAACTACTGCCCTATCTATGTGCGAGCGGAAAAGGAGCTTTTCGTCAAATAACATACCAAGATATGTTACTTCGGTGGACCACTCAACCCTTGTGCCATCCATTATTACAGTACAAGAGGGAGCCGGTTTTAGTTTGGGAGATTGTCGATGGAGGAACATTATTGATTGGGTTTTGGAGGCATTGATTTTGATTTTCCACGTGTTGGCATAAAAAGCAAAGGCGTCAAGGCATCGTTGAAGTTTGTTTGTTATTTCACGAGGCCTCCTTCCCTTGACGGTTATAGCAGTATCATCTGCGAACAGGAAGAACACGCAACCGTTGCCCAAGGGAGGAATGTCGGAAGTGTAGATGCTGTATAGCAAAAGGCCCAACAGACTACCTTGCGGAACACCTGCTGGGATGGAAAAGGTGTTTGAATTGCAACCATTCAACGATACCTTAAACGACCATTGCTGGAGGTAGTTACGGGTGATTTTTACAAGATGTGGTGGAAAGTTGAAGTTACAAAGCTTGTACACAAGTCCGTCATGCCAAACATTGTCAAACGCCTTTTCAACGTCTAGCAATGCCATGGCTGTAGACTTGGATACAGCTTTGTTACTTCGAATGTTATTCATCACCCGAACTAGCTGGTGATTTGTGGAATGCCCTTTCCTAAACCCAAACTGTTCAGGTAGGAGAATGTTGTTCTCCTCGACAAACTTGAGCAAACGATTGAGAATTAGTTTCTCGAACAATTTGCTCAGCGCTGAAAGGAGGCTGATTGGTCTATAGCTGGAAGGTAGTGATGGATCTTTACCGGGTTTGTGGATTGGTATGATTTTTGCTATCTTCCAGATACTTGGAAAGTAGTGCAGTTCCAAGCATCTGTTGAAGATAGCAGTCAAAAGCGAGTACACTTTCGTGCTCAGCTTCTTCAATACCAAGTTGAATATACCGTCAAACCCGGGAGCCTTCATGTTCTTGGTGTTTTTCAGCGCTGAGCAAATCTGCTCCACTGTAATATTTTCTGCCGGAGGGACGGCACAAGCGGAGGCATCCAAGTTTTACGGTACGCATTGCGTCACCTGATTTTCGAGCGGACTTTGGATAGTTGAGCCAAGCAAATGCGATGTAGCAATATGATTACCAATCGCATTTGCTTTCTCTTGTGGGGTAATGAGCCGATTGTCAGCATTTCCGACTCTGAGAGGAGGAATGGGTTTGGGATGAGTTTTCAGCACCTTGGCTACCTTCCAGAATGGACGGGAGCGGTCATCCAGATTCTGGACAACACGCCCGAAACTTTCATTTCGGAGAGAGTCCATTCTGGAAGCAATCTGCCTGTTCAGATCGGCCATTTCATGTTTTTTGCTCAGATCTCCAGTCCTCTGAAACTGGCGTCTACGCACATTTCTCAAGCGAATCAGTAACTGGCTGTGGGAATCAATAGCAACAAACTTACCATTCACAGGAACTTGTCGAACGCATGTCTCGTCAGCCACGGATATGGCCTGGTGGAGTCCTTCCAGAGCCCGGTCGATGTCCTCTACGGTGTCAAGCGGTGGATTTTCGTTGATGTTCAGGTCTACCACACGTCCAAACTGGACCCAGTTTACGTGGTGGTAGTCTTTTCGTAGGATTGGAGCAGGAGCTATGTTGATGCCGACCTCAGCCACCACCGGTTGGTGATCGGAGCTTAAGTCGTTGATTGCCACCGGCTTGGATAGCCCGAAGTTCGTCAGGAAGAAGTCCAGCGTGGAAGGGTTTCCCGCCGGAGAGATGAATGTCGGTTCATCCGAAAATTGCACTGTATACAGCCCATGCTGCGAGTGGTCGAAGAGCAGACGTCCATTCTGATTCCGCTGATAGTTCCGCCATGCTTCGTGGCGGGTATTTAGATCGCCCCCAATGACGAATCGTGAGCTCGTGCGAGTGATAGCGGTGAGGTCGTTCTTGAATTTCATCCTTAGTCCGTTGCTGGCAGCACACTGACGAGGGCAGTATACGGTGATGAACCGGACGTTTCCGGATAACCTTGCTTCTCCATCTTATCATTACATCCGGTTTTTCCTGCAAATCAGATACTCGATATGTGCGTTTACGTTGAAGGTCCTTGAACAGCACAAATTTATCCATTTCTTTGAACTCAGGATCCGCTCGTTTCAAACTTTGGTAATCATAAACAGTTACCTCCCGGCGAATGTGACTCCTAATAGCCTCCCAAGTTTGCTCCAACACCTCCTCGGGTGAGTTGCCAAAAACATGACATTCCCTGGTAATCACCTTCGCATCCGCTTTACCTTTGTCGTGATGTTGTCCTCGAAAATCCTTCTTGTAGCAGGAAATCATGAAATGAAACGTACTTTCCTCCAATCGTTTACGTTTCGGTGCTGGCAAAACACTTGAAGGATGGTCAGTTTCGGGCTCTTGCTCAGGTTCTGCAGGTTCTGTCTCGTCGTAGTCCGGGAACTTATCAATGTTCCCAATAGGATCGTCTTCGTCAAGAAACTCAGCTGCATAATCGGCATCGGAATCATCCAGCTCCAGGTTTATGCTGCAGTATGAAAGCTGAAAGTGAAAATAAACTTCGTAAATATATATGAAAATAACATTACTATCCGCATTTTCTTTACCGCTTCCATCTCCTTGTTAGTAGTCACTTGATGTTTACAATTTTGAAACAATTTATGAACCGACTAACGAAAAAAAATATATCCATAAATGCGAATGAAAACAAACACACTAACTCAAACGAACCCATAACTGGAAAATTTTCACCCATTTATGAAAAGAGGTTTAACCTAGGGGTTAACTCATTAAAAATTTTTTATGTCCTACCCTTTTAATGAGTGCCTTTTACTAATTTATGAATAACTGTTACCTGTACATTTTACGAGTAACAGCTACTCATTAATTTGGTAAAATTTTGTTTATTTCATGAGCAAAGCCACTTTTTTAATTGCTGTAATTTTATCCATTAATGGGTTCTTTTGAGTTTACATGAGGAGAAAAAAATCTTCTGTTTATTTATCAATCAGTTGTTGGAATATGACGTGTCACTAACACAAAGATAAAAACTTGTGCGCATTTTCATGCGACGTTTCTAAAACTGTCAAAAAGTGAGCGTCGCGTTTTGTTACCAATGAAACAGACAATATTGTCGAAAAAACAATCACGAAACTCTGTGATCAATTTCAGTTCGAAGTTCGACGATAAGTTTAGCAACTATCGGTGTGAAAGCCGAAAACGTAAATTCACAATCGTGATAGCAACGACCGGCGCGTAAACAAGTTGCTAACTAAAATAGCAATGGCTAAAGTTGTCAAACTAGCAGCCCGAATAGCAACGCATTGGTGCGGGTGCTCGAACGAACTGAACTATCGAGCGTTTCAATCCCCAACCGAAGAGTTGCTCCAAAAAGCATCAAAGTAAATTGAACCGAACAAGGGGAGTCCACGTCCTGTTAAAGACCTTCGACATGTCGTGAGAGACCATCTCGATATGGCTGCCGTTGCTCGTGGCTTCCTAGAGGACGTCTCCAAGCGTCGCGTCGTGGAGATGCCATACCCCTGCCGAAATGCATGTTGTCGATTGTCGAGAAGGCAACCGTTCTCGAGGAACTGATTTAGCCTAGAGTCGCCAAGAGAAAAACAGTTGAACTCGCATCACGGTTTTCGAAAGATTCCCTTAATTTTCACTTGGCAACAGAGGACTTCTACATCAACTTCAAATGACTTCTAGCGAGAAAAAAAATAGCGGCTGTAGTAAATCATTATATCAGTGATTTTGTCAAATTATTTTTTTCAAAAAATAGTAGAAATTCTCATTACTGATCATTACCAAACGTATCCCATGACAATTTAATGCTCACTGCGTGATTATGATCATTTCTTCGATTATATTTTATATTTTATTGCAATACCTTTCGTTGACCTCTCATAGCATCGTAATGTTTGTTTACTTTGCACGATAGGTAGCCGGTTTGACAGTTCAATAGGTAGACTTGGCTTCACTCTTGGCGTGACTCGTTATACACCGACTCTAGTTTAGCCTACGATTGATTATCCATTCCATAACTTTGGCCATGCACCAGTCGGTGAGTGAGATAGGGCGAAATTTGGATACTTCGCGGGAGGCTTCATTGGCTTTCGACATGGGCCAAGAAGTCTCTCCTTCCACCTGTCCGGGTACACACAGTTTATTTTTGATTACACAATTTTCGTTGCTCTTTGTATTATTTTCCCTTGCATTTTCTATTTTAAGTACACGATCGTACTTTTCTTTATAATCACTAAAAATTCGTTACTCTGGATGATTCCGGGTCCGGTTAAGAAGGTTCTGAAAGTTAATCTTCCTGAGAGCTACTGTGTACCCCTCCGGGAGTCCGCATTCCGTGTCCATGTCTCAGTGATCAATCAAATGAATCAATCAAATCAGTACAATTGATTTAAAAAATATCAGGACTTTAGAATCAGTTTCTTTTCTAATTTTTTTTTTGACAGCATTGATCGCTACCAGCCCTGAATGCCGCAAAGCTTCTATAAAACTAATATGTTTTGAATCATTCATTTTTTTATCATCTGTTCTCTCCCCTTACCAGAGATGGGCTACTCGGAGGAGGAGGCCCGCATCGCGCTGGAGATCTGCGACAACAATCCGGACCGGGCCGTCGAGTATCTGCTGTCGGAGATTGCGACCAGTTCGATGGGAACGGGAGGTGGAGGTGGCGGCGGTGGTGGCAGTGGTGCCCTTTCCAGTGGCGGTTCCCAGGAAAGCCGATTGGCCTTCCTGCGGGAGCATCCGACGTTCCTCGAGATGAAACGGCTCCTCCAGGACGATCCCAGCCTGTTGCCGCATTTACTGCAGAAAATCCAATCGAGCAATCCGGATCTGATGCGCATTATCTCCGAGAACCAGGTGGAATTTTTGGCCCTGATAAACGAGGGCACCGACGAGCCAACGGGCCGGATGGGTGTCCCCCGGGAGCTGGAAACGACGGCCGCCGCCATGGTGGACAGTCTCACCCAGTCCGACATGGATGCGATCGATCGGCTGAAGGCGCTCGGCTTTCCGGAACATCTGGTTATCCAGGCGTACATAGCCTGCGAACGGAACGAGTACCAGGCGGCGGAATTTCTCGTCTCGCAGACCTTGGACGATGATGAGTAAGCAAAACACAATTTTTCGACTCTTTGCCTCTTTCCATCTATTAAGCGAACAGAAGTAAGTTTGGTTTCGATTTGTTGAAAAAAAAAAGTCTTTGTCACACTTTGTGATTGATTCAGCTCCAAGTTTCTCCGCTATCCGGCCCTATTTTCCTTTTTATCGTTGGTTGATAGTAGAGGTTACGCGTTTCGGGTTTCTCGCCAAATAGGACCATTATTTCCAAGTAGCCGCTGCTGCTCGAAACTATGGCGACGGAAAGAGTGTCTTCTTATTTTCCATTATCCTTTAATTATTCCTTTCTTTTTGTTAAACACAGTTTGCATTACACAACTCAGCGGTTTTCAGCTTAATTGTACTTTTTGAGATGATAATGATGATCGATTAGCTCTGCTACTATAAATTGCTAAAAAAAAAGGAAAACAAACAACTAAACTAAACATTAAAGCACTATCTACGATTATAAAAAAAAAAATGAAAAATTATCCATTCTTGAAATTTTGCCCGAATAAAATTTAAGGATTATTGTACCTCTCGGTTTGTGGTTTTCTACGCTTGTTGCGGCTTGCGGGTAGTGAACGGTATCACGGTCCAATAGCATGCATCGGTCTGCATAAGGTGGCAAATTCATTGATTCGCGCCACGGCAGGCTGCGCAAAGCCAACCTCAAAAAACTCTTTTCTGAACACGTTCTATTCGGAGATTCCACACTAGCTCATATGGAGACCAGACCACAGATGCATTCTCAAGTATGGGCCGAACTAAAGAGCAATATAGGGCCTTCAAGCAGTGAGGGTCTTCGAAATAAATCCCAGTTGACGATTCGCCTTAGAGATGTTGTTGTTTATTGTTTATTGAAAAATTCAACTGACAATTACTGTCTAAATGAATAAAACTTAAACTAAATAGTTACGGTCAACAGTACAGAAAAGGCCAAGTAGCCGATGACGAAACACGTCAGCTGATACATTGAAGTCGAACATATAAAAAAAGTTGTTGAATTGCCGGCTGATTGCTCGAATTGGCTCGTGTTGTGTATAATTCCGGCTCCGTGGTTCCAAAAACAGAAAGTCGTGATGACGAAGAGACCTCTCAGGGGCATACATATTTAGCTGTGACAGCAGTGTTGGGCAGTCAATGTCACCTGTAAGCAGCTTTCCAGCGAACATAGCTTGAGCGACCGTCCGTCTCACCTCTAATGGCTCGATTCCCAGGAGACGGCAACGCTCCTCGTACGGTGGCAAGTTCGTTGGGTCACGCCAGTTGAGGAAACGAAGAGCATATCTCACAAACTTGCGTTGAACGGATTCAATTCTAGTGATCCAGGTAGCATGGAAAGGGCACCAAACAACTGAACTTGACTCCAATAAGGATCGCACAAGCGAGCAGTAAAGTGACCTGAGACATAGCGGGTCACGAAACTCGTCGGCAATTTTGAAAATAAAGCCCAATTGTCGATTAGCTCTGGAGATGATGTCATTGTAGTGGATTCTGAAAGTGAGTCTGCAGTCCAAGGTAACGCCGGGATCCTTTATGTGCTCTACACGAGCAAGACAGCGTCCGTTGAGAACATAGTCAAACATGATTGGTTCGATTTTTCGGTGATAGGAAATAATGTTACATTTTTCTATGCTTAGACTCATCAAATTTCTGGAGCACCAGTCAGCAAAAATACCTAACATATTCTGGAGATCCCAGCAGTCCGACAGGCTTTTAATAATTTTGTAGATTTTCGTATCGTCTGCATAGAAAAGGCGGCATCCTGATGGTATCAGCAAGGCGACATCGTTTAAAAAGATCGAAAATAGTAGCGGTCCTAGGTTACTGCCTTGCGGGACTCCCGAGTTGTTTGAGAAAACATCCGATTCCGACGCGCCAATCTTGACATGTACATAGCGATTCACCAAGTAAGATCTGAACCAATCCACAGCAGTTGACGAGATGCCAAGTATCTCCAGCTTGGCCAGCAAGATACTATGGTCCACCGTGTCAAATGCAGCTTTTAGATCCATATACGCCGTGTCGACTTGCCATCCTGAATCCATGCATCGCAGAAAGTTATAAGTGAACTGCACCAGGTTCGTGGATACGGAGCGCTTCGGGTAGAAACCGTGTTGTTCTGTATCGATATAATTTTTGCAGCGTGCGATCAGAGCACCATTTATGATAATCTCGAACAGTTTTGAGGAGGCACACAGGGAGGTGATTCCACGATAATTTATGACATTCCGTTTATCTATAAGAAAGTTTCCAGCGGCAGGGGAACTCACATTGCTGTGCCGAGAGATTGAATAGCCTCGCAAGTGGAAGGCAGAGATTGGCTACACAACGTTTTAGAACTGATGACGGAATGCCGTCAGGTCCGGAGGCGAACGAGAGCTTCAGTTTGCGTGTTGCGGCTATCACCATGTCTTCTGAAATGCGCGGAATAACGAAACTAAACACACCACGTGGCATCTCAACAGCAGCATCCAGCACTTGTGTTGGCGAAGCGGAGAAATCGTTGAACACTTGCTTGAAATGACGAGCAAACAAGTCGCATTTTTCTCTTTCACTATTAGCCGAGTCATTCCCGAGAAACATGGAACAAGGCAACCCGGATTCCTTCCGTTTTGAGTTGACAAACGACCAAAAACTTTTCGGATTCGTGCGAAGGTTCGCTTCCGTGCGTCTCACGTGTCGATTATAGAGAAAACGATTGTAATTTCGATAACTACGACTCGCAAAATTGAACAGTCGTTTGTAGTACGGCGAGCGAGAGTTACAATACTTTCGGAGGGCGGCAGAGCGTTGACGTTTTAGCACGCGTAGGCGTGGGTTAGACCATGCAGGCTTTAGCGGAGGTCGTCGAGCTGGGACAATGCGGAAAATACTTCCAGTGCAGCACTGAAAAAATCCACTGCATCATTCACGCTAGCGGCAGTTTCGATAAATTACCAATCAATTTCCGCAAGTGCATTGTTCAATGCAACATAATCGGCCCGGCGAAAGTCCCAAAGAGTAGCACTCAGATGACGGCGTAAAAAGAATCGGCGCAGGTAAACTAAATGACACGACGAGAGCGGGATGATCGGCATCTAGATCCATCAGTGGCTCGACCGGCAAGGAAACAGAAGTGCCCGGTAGTGCGGAATCATTTGCCAGGACAAGATCTATTTTTTTGTTTATTAATTTATTTGATAAGGCTCAACCGAATTAACTTTACAGAGCCGAGGATTCTTGGTCACTATACAATACATCTTAAAACTATAGTCAAAAGGTACAACACAATAAACACTTTATCTTCCGCTAACCAAAAAGCCTCCTCCATCAGAACTGGAGCCGCTTCCAGTAGTTTCATTGTATGGCAAATTGTTGTATGCCAACGAGGGTCAGAGCGCGTCCATTGCAGCAATGGACACAAAACGTGGTCAGCACTCACACACTCATCACGAAACGGTTGCTTTCCAAAGTCGACGACACATCGACCGAAAGAACTGCTGATGAAGAACAATGAGAAGGACCACACAATGGTTGCTGTCGAGAAAACAGACGATCGCGTAGCACACATCGAGAGTGGCCTGCTTTTGTCGACAGCCGAGTGAACACTGAGGACAAGATCTAGCAAACGGAAAAGTATTCACTTGTGTGAACCCGTAAAAGTTAAAACCGTCCAAAAGAGCACAGCAAGCAACCGGCATATGCGAAAGCAGTGGATCAATTAATGGTGTGCCACTGTCTGTAAAGCGCCACTGCAGACCAGCTTGATTGTAGTAACCAAATACGAAAGCGGGAGAGCAGGGACTTAATTGTGACGAAATTGACCCTAACGATTCCACATGCTCACGGATGATCGTGCAGTCGTTTTTGCGGTCGGGAGGCAGGTAGATTGCCCCTACAATAAGCTTGCTAGAACTTCCTACGACAATCCACAGCTGTTCCAGTTGACTGTTGACGTACTTACGTAGCTGCAAGTAGATACTGCAATCAGGACTCCGCCACCGCGCGATTTTTGACTGTTTAGGGCAGACCGGTCAGTTCTGAAGACGGAATAGAGTGACCCAAAAAGTTGCGATGAGTGAATTCGGTCGTCCAGCCACGTTTCCGTCAGCACAATCAAATCATATTCGACCTCCGCAACAGCCAGGCAAAACGAGTTGATTTTAGTCCTCAGCCCACGCACGTTTTGGTAGTAGATCTGGAGACCATTCGAGGAGCAATCACGGGAACTAGAAATCGAAAGGACATCAGGAACCGAAAGCTCGGAATCGCTAACATACTCGCCTGAGGTTGCAGTCCGGAAGCCCTCGATACCATCACCGACCACAGGACCGGGACGATGACGATGGCGGATGTCTGCAGCAAGCGCGACTGGGTCGGGAGGTTCGGAAGCTTCCTCAGTGCCTGTTTTAGGGTGTCCCGGATCCGAGGAAAAGCAGGTGGCGGCATAAACTTGCTGGTAGTTGGCAGGACGGATGCATGGACATGATGTGGCTAGTGTGGAGATCGCAGAACCGGAAACACAGCTAGAAGTTGAAGCGGTATCAGGCAAAGGAGAAGCTGAATCGTCAATATACTTGCCAGTAATAGCTGGTTGGAAGACCCCCGACCTACATCTACACTCAGGGCCGAGACGACTATGCAGAGCGCTGGCTGGAATAAGCGCGACTGAGGCAGAGAAATCAGGGGCTTCCAAAGTGCTATCCACGATGCGTCTCGGTGGTGATGGTGGTGGTCCAGAAGCAATAAAGGTAGCAGCATTATTCTTGGAAATCGTGTAAACATCATGAAGCGTTGCACTGGAACACAGAAACTGATCAGGCAAATGACTGTAACTAATGTATGCATACTTGCCTGACGACGATGCTTGGGAGACCTCACCACCGAACTCGACCGCAGGGCCAGAACGACTCTGATGGCAGGAAATAGAACGGCTTTGATGGCGGGAAACAGCTAGCGCGACTGGATCGAGTGGTTCGAGGTCTCCCATAATGCGACAGGCAGTGCGTTCTGGTCTACAGCGCTCCAATTCACAACGCAAAATCCAATTCTGAATCAGCAGGCTGGGTCTAGTCCGGAAATGGGAGTTGAGAACTCGGAAGGTCCCGGAATAGGAGAGATCGTAATGGTAGGCGTGTTCAAACGAGGCAACCACATGTTTTTTGAACCGTCTTCAAATTCACGGAACAAAATTCCTTTCGGCCATGTATCCGATCTAAGAGCAGCTTCGCGTAGTTTGGGATCCATTCCGACTTTGTACGAGATAAAGCTCATACGGCTGATGTCGGATCCTTTTTTGACTAGCGGCACAACCTTAATCGGATCTTCACACTGTACACAACCTTTGACCAGCTTCTCGATTGATTCAGATTTCACGCTAGGACGAATACGAGGAAGGTAAAGCCAAAACAGCCAAGAATAGTGAAGATTGAAGGTCAACTTTGGGTCCAAAAGAACACCAAGATCAGTAATACGTTCTACTCTGCGAAACGTTACATTGTCAATGCAGTAGTCGTAAAGGATTGAACTCTTAGAGCGGTGAAACGTCATC